GTGCTAAGTAGAAGGAAAATTTCTACTTTGCCTGCCTGTATTCATGCTTTATGCATAAAATGTCATTCAATTGCATCCGTACCCCCATGCACGTATTCGCATATACAAACCGAGACAAAGTAACACTTTAACACAATTTGAAAGCTTTTACATCACATTTCACATATTTTAACATACATATAAACTTACGCATATATGTGCGAGTAGGTGTAGAAGCATGTGAATACATAAAACACAATCTGCTCCACAAAACGTTTGTCGTTACATTAATGGGCACGTAACGTGTTTATTTTAGCGAACATTATCGTACAAAAGAAAAAGGGAAATAAAAACCGCATTTATGTGAATTTGTGTCGTCGTCGTTTGCGTGTATATGCGAGTATGAAATGAATTTATATATACTTCCACTGCTAGTTATCGTTACAATCATCAATAGTTTATGAATCAATAAAACGTAACAAATTTTATAACCATTCTCATCGAACCTCTCGCCATTCGAATTTTGGTGAAAGCAAAGACGTGTTGTTATTTTTTTTTTTGTTGTTTTTTCTGCTTCTTCGAAGAATTTAGGAATGCTTACAGTGTTTACGTACTTTCGTGGAGGTAGTCACACAACCCCACACATTTGAAGAACATTTATGTGGTTTAGCAAAGTAACGAAAATTTAATAACATATCATGGCCCAAAGTTGCGGCATTAAGACTTGTGCAACGCGCTGCAGAAAGTTCAAAAGATAAGAGAGTATAAAAGTAAAATCAAACATCCTTGTAAACCAGTTTCATGTCATATTAAGACTTTTTTTAACGATTCGCATGTTTCTACACAAATACTACTGAATATTAGATGAACTGCAACATATTAAGCCTTTAAGAAAGTCAACTTCATATAAGTTTTGCATTCATGGAAACGAAATTCGTATGCAGAGACAGGCAGAGACTTTTAAAGCTAACTAATGAAGTATGCCCGGTTAGTATGAAAGATAATTTTCTTTATTTTTTTTCGCCCCTTACTTATTACTCTTCACCATATCGCACGCTCTTCTTCAGAACTCTTGCTTTGTCGTTTATGTATATGCAGAACTTTGAATCCTTAGAGCTAGCAAGCGAGAAAATATCACATAGTTGATAGGCCAGGTGTAGTGGCAAGCAAAATTATCTTAACTGCTAAAAATGGAACTTGGGGAGTCCAAATCGATCATGCAAGGTAGACTTACGTCAGGCTTGGTCAGCTGAGCAAAGTGGGTGGAAACGCAAAATGTGTGACGAATTCGGGAGTGCATCCTATATCACGAAAGAAAGTTGAAATAAATATTGGAGAATATTTAAAAACTATAGTCGGCGAGTGTTGCTCAGGTCAGTTGTTGGAAAGCAGTAACAGTCCTGTCATTGTTAAAAGGGAACAGCGAAGCCTGGAATAAATCTTTGAAATGATAATACGCTCGTTTTTGCTTCACTTCGCCTTCTCATTTTCAATAATTTTTGATCACGAAATATAATGTGAGGACAGAGATGAAATTTTGTAAACGAATCTCAACCACCGCCAAACAACAAGCTTTAATAGAAGACTACAAAGGAACTAAAATTCAGAATTTCGCTTCCAACAACAAATAAGCCATAGTAGATTTAGGTGTTCCTTAAATTGTTACAAAATTTTCTTTAATTAAAGTTTACTCTATAGAAAGCTCTCTTATGTGTTCATTTATGTGTTTGTATGTAAGCTTATGAACTTCATTTATTTTGTAAAGATCAACAATCGATTACTTACCTTTTGAAAACCATTAACTACTTAACCATTGTCTGCTATTAAATGGAGGTGTAAACTGGAAACTTGTATGCTGGTCGGGTGGTTGGTTGCTGTGTTTCATCTATGCTTATCCCCCTCATCGATTCGAATGGCGGCTCTTCAATGAATCAAGCAGCAATCGACGTTGTATGCGTGTATATGCATTCATTTGCCAAACTGAAAATGTTCTTTATTGTTTGGCTGGATTGTTTGTTGTTGCACTTAACAACTTTCTGTATTTATTAGAGTCTTGACTTGAGACATCCTGTAATTTTCAGTCTTGCTTGTAAACAATTTTGCTATTTTGCAAATTTAAATTTGCCTCATCGCTTTACTTATAAACCATAATAACATTCCTTTGGTGTAGTAATTGTTTGTTGGCTTAATTTGTGTTGCGAAGGAATTAAACGAAATTGTACTAAATCGTGAGAGAAGGGGGGGAGGCGGAGAAACGAAATACTTTAAATGGTTCTTTTTCTGTTTTTTTTTTTTCTCTTTTTGCTCTAATGGGTTCAAAGCCTTAGTATTTCCTCTACATTAACTCTCACACTAAACAAGTATTTGTACATACATATATATGTATATATGTATATGCAAGTTTCCGTTTTATTACGTTTCCGTTTCACATGTGTGATGAATTTCAATAATGCTATTGTCTACTTTTAGGCTTTTTATTTACATTGTGCTTCTTTTCTTTTGCTTCGCACAACCATAGCAGCCCGTGATGGAGAATGTCAAGTCTTTAGCGGTTCGCTTGAACTTTTGTTTTCATCATTGGTTTGCCACGTTTCCTGACAGTGGCGACTGTGTACCATTGTTTTTATTTGCTTTTTCTTGCGATGTTCTTCCGCTTTCACGTTCGGTTTGTTTCTGTTTACTTTTTAATAACTCCCACTTAAAGGCAGCACTTTTGTGCAGTTATTCCGTTTGTGACTCACGACTCATAACTCATTTCTTCCAAACATATACTTACGATTATTCGGGAATTTTTAACATATCATATTTCGGAACGGAAGATGTAAAATAGAGAGACTTAAAAGCAATAAGCAAGGAATAGCTTATCTCATTTCCAAATGCTTCAACACAAATCACAAGATATGCAAATGGCACCGAATCACCAAGGAATCCACTTTTCTTCCGCGTTGCTTTGACTACGAGGCAAACTGTTCTTCAACAATCCTACTAACTAACTAAGGTATGCTGATGTGTCCAACATCAATAAGGAAGAGATGTTGAGAATCCTTTAGCTATGTGACTACGATATTGCAGAGGTTCACGGCCTTAATGTACCCATGCCTTGTCATCTTTTGCACAGATCGCTGTAGGAGAGACTTACCCTTTCAGCATGTTGGCAGAAGATAAGGCAGCAAGATATAAAGATACATTTGAACTCAAACCCCCCTGTGCAACTAAACCGGGGCCTGGATTGTTGCATTTATCTGATATCGAAGATATCAAT